GCCCTGGCGTGGCTCGGCCTGCAGGGCCTGCAGGGGCGGCAGTACAATCCCGTTCCACGGCTCGACGGCCTCGACGGCGTGCAGCCCGAGAAGGGAGCCCTGCTGTACCGTAAGGGGCTTAGCGGGATTGGGTCCCGGCACGGGTCCCGGCACGGGTCCCTGGGCGGCCTGGCGCCCCCGCACCGGGCCCCCTCCTCGGGGACCCCCTCCTTCGGGCCGCGCAAGATCAGCACGGCGCCGCGCCGCGCCGACCGCAGGCCGCGGGCAAGGTGGCGGGGGCGGCGAATTTACGGCTTGAAATGTGTGTCACTAGTCGCAGTGGAGCGAGTCCGAGTCGTTTTGCAGTTTAATTCCATCCAGTGTCGCTCCAGGCTTCTGCAGGCTTCCGTCCCGCGCTCTCCCCACCGCGTGGAGGAGCCGAGTGCCTGTGGCGTGCCTGGCCGCGAGAGAGCGGCGGCGCCGGCGTGACCTATCACGACGCCCTGCCCAGACACCTCGGCGTCCCGGCGCTGGCTGCCGCCATGCTGCCGCCGCGGACGAGTGCAGGCAGGGCTTGTCGTCCCGGAGCAACGCGCGACGCGCTTGCGACATGGCCTGCGACGCGTCGCGGCGAGGGCTGTGCTGGCGGCGCTAGCTACGCTGCTGCCCTGCCGGCCTGCCTCGGCCTGCCTGCCTGTCGCCACCGCCTGTTGGCGCCGCTGCACGTCCATTGCCGCGTCATGCCTCGGTCATGCCGCTGGAGTCCGAGTCCGGGACGACGCCCGCCCCTCCGCCTCTCCAGCTCCAGTGGCGTCCGGCGTGGGACTCGCGGGGCGGGGCGGGGAGGCGTGATTCACACGTCGTGTCCCTCTGAGGAGGTCACGGCGCGGCTGGGACTTCCCTGCCTATATAGGGAGGCTTCCTGCTCCAGGTTATATTGTTTGCTTGACGTATCGCTGTGCCGCCGTTTCGGCCGTTTCGGCGCGAGGCGAGGCGAGGCGTGTTGTGTCTGGTTTGAGTGTTTGTGTGTTTGTTGTCTTGTTTTCGCTGCTGCTGTGTTTCGTCGAGCGACGGTACGGATGTCCGATTCGCCGTGTTATCATATCCTATCCGCCAACACAACACGCCCTTCTGTTGCACAACTCGCGTCCTGGATGGCAATAGCCTGCAATGGCCGGTGGAGGTGTGCGAATCGGTTTCGGACCATAACAGAAAAAGTGCCAATGTCGTCTGTTTTGGACATGAACGTGTCATTTGCTTCAAAGGATTGTTTTGATATTAGATTTTATTTGAGTTCGGAAAACTGACCGGCATGTGGCGCCGAGCTCGGCCAGCTCGGCGTCCTCAGGAAACTATTATGTGCTTTTGCCGGACGCCATTGCGCATTGCGCCGCCCTCCGCCCCCGTTGAGGCAGTTACGCCCTGGCCCCAGTCCCGGTGCCGGCAGTGGCGTGGCAGAGCCGTGGCAGTGGCGTGGCGATGCGGCTCAGAGATCGCGCCGTTTCCAATGCGCTGGCCGCCGCCTTGCCACCATGCTTGCCACCACGCCGCCGCAGATGTGTGTGCAAGATACCGCCGCAGGTATTATTGCCACCGAGTGCGTGTTTGTTTCCCCTTCCTTTCTTCTTGTTCTTTCTCTCTCATCTTTTATGGATTGCTTTTCGAGTTACGCCACGCCGGACGCGTCTGCTCCGCGGGCCGGGCGGCTCGGGGGATGCCTCGGGGGATGCCTCGGAGGATGCAGCCTCGCGAAACACTCAGCAACGCCAAAAGAAGCGCGCGGAAGGTGGAATGAAATTGGAGCAGGCGAGAATGATGGCCCGGGCCTCGTGCGCGTGCCGGGCCGGACTGCAGAGCGACTCCGAACCTCCGAGCAGCGCTTCGTCGCTCTGTCTCTCTCGCACTCATGGGGCGTCCCGTGCGGGTGCGAGGGACAGGGCGCGGTTCGGCATAAGCCTGCAGGCGCACATCGCGCGGCTCGGCGGCCAGGCAGGCCGGCCCGGCGGGGCCAGCACTGCACGACAGGGAAATGGGTTCTGCTGTGTTGACGGCGCTGCGCTTCGCGACTAAAATTTGCAGACATCATCGCGCGCCAAGTCAGGGTTGTAAGTAGCGCTGCTGCCGGCCCCCGGCCCCGGGCCCCGGGCCCTGCCGCGGCAGTGGCGTGCTGAACGCTCGGCTATTTCCAGCGGCAGCGCGTTTGCTCAGAGGAGCCTTCCTCCTCGCTGACGGCCTGACGCCTGACGGGCCAGGCGGAACACGGGGTGTCAGCCTGCTAAGCGGTTCCGAACAGAGACGCTTTCGTTTCTCCGTCTCCCTCGCGCTCTTGGGGCGCGCCGTGTGCGTGCGACAGAGAAGACGCGGCCCTTCGGAGCCGCTCGGCTGTCGGGTCACGCGAGCTGCGCGAGCTGCGCAGGCCAAACAGCCGCGGGACGTCGGGACGGCGCCCTGCTGCAACGCGCAGCGAACGCCCAGCACCCCGACAGCCGAGGCCGAGGCCGAGGACGCCGTCAGTCCCAACGGGCTGTTTGCAGGCCGTCAGCGACGCCACGGCCTCGCCACCATTCACCACCGTGCCCCCAACAGTCGGCGGCGCGACGCGGCTTCCAGTGCCGGGGACGGTTTCCTCGCCCCCTGACCTCGGACGTCTCGGACGTCGTACTCCGTGATGGTGATGACCGGCGCCCGCCCGGACCCATCCCACATCGACGGAGTGGGCTTTCGGCTTTCCTGAGCCGGGCGGGGATTGGCTGGCTGGGATGGAGCGGGAAAGTTGGCCGCGGATACTTGGCGTGTCACGGACCGCTGGGGAGGCTATCACGTGATGCCCTGCCGGTCTAACCACCCCGCCGGCATCTTCACCCTCTACTGAGCCAACCGCCGGAGAAATCCGAATCCAGTCGTTGTTTTTTCGGCAGCAGGGAGAAACTCCGCGTCGAATTACCACACTGTTATCCTTATTACGCCGAGGCGGTGGCACGGTGCGGGCACTGCAGCACGCGTGGGCCGAGTTGCCCAACCCGGTCATCTTCCTGGCAGTTTTTTGGGCAGCGCCGCGGCGGCCCGTCCGTCCCTGCGGCCCAGCAGCAGCACGGCACCGCCCTTTACGTAAGGGTTTGATGGTTATCCGGCGCCAAAGAGTTCCGCCGACGCGAGCACGGCGCCAGGCTGCGCCAGGCCGACCGGCGCCCACTCTGCGCAGCCCAGACATCCTCGCTCGCGGTTCGCGGGCCTTACGCCTCGCGCGGCCCTTTGCCATATACCGATGCTACCATTTTGGCACCGGAGGTCCGAAGGCCAGCCGATGCGCCCGGCCCGCCGGCGCGGCCAAGTGGTCTATTTTCGCCGGCCGTCTCCGTTGACCAAACTATGAATCGGCCTCCAGCGAGTCCAGGGGGCCGAGGGGGCGTTGACCTGCCGCGGGCGTGGTGGGGCGTGGCGTCGCAGCGCCGTGCGGGGCTGGACGGGCTGGGCGGCACGCTGGGCGGCAAGCTGGACGGCCTCCAGCGCGCTCCAAGACTCAGCCGCACTCCAGCAGCGCGCCGCGGACTTCCCGGACACCGCGGCTTACCGCGGCAGGCTTGCAGCCTTTCGTCACCGTCTCGCTCGCACTCATGCCGCGTGCCGCGGGGGCGCGAGAGAGACGGAGCGTTGTTCGGTAGCAGCCTGCTGGACCGACCTGGCCGCATTATGCGCGCAGGCGGCGTAACACCGACGACGGTCGACGGCGACCCCGCGGCCGCGAACACGCGCGTTGTGTGGGCGGCGAGGTGCGAGGAGTGCGCCGAGGTAATCCAAGGCTGGGCCGCGCTGGCCCCTCGGGCCCAGAGCCTAGAGGCGGCCCGGGCCACATTACCGGCACATTACCGAGCCGTGCCGCGCGCCGCCCGCCGCGCCGAGACTCAAGGGCAATAGCACCTCTTCTTATGGCCTGCGGGATGATTCCGAATAGCGATCTGTCTCTCTCGCACTCTCGGGGCATTGCGTTGGGGCGAGAGAGAAAGAGCTCTGGGAGCTGCTCGTCGTCGGGGCGAGCAGCTGCCAAACGCCGCGCCGTTTGGATTTACATCCCGAGAGAAGCACCGCCGAATGTGTGGTTGCGAACACCGCGCAAGCGGTCGTTACTTTACTTTTAGTGCCAAAAGTAAAACTCCGGCAGCAGAACCGAAGCGAGCAACCACTTGTGTACCCTTTTGTTCTGCCCCACGCGCTTGCGTGTGACGGATCCCCGCGGCCGCTGGCGGACTGGCGCCACTGGCCACGCCACTGGCCACGCCGTCGGGCACCACTTAGACACGCGCCAAAAGTGCGGCGCGGGCACCCTGTACCCTGCTCGCCGGAGGACGCCGCCGCGCGCCGCTGGAGACGCTCCGGGTCCAGGTCCTCTTGTCCTCTTCGGCCCGGGGCTGCAGACCAAGCATGACACACAAGGTCTCGCTCAGGAAGCGCGTGGCCCGGCCGGGCCCGGTACGGCCGGGCATGGCCATAGGACGCTTTTGGTGTCTTTGGTGGTTCGTCACCTTGTTGTTTTTGTTGTTGTTTGACGAGGGTGCAGTGCATCCGGTGGTCGCGGCGCCCCGCTGCTGCTTCGAGTAGCTGCCCCACTTCCCGCTTCCTCGGCCTCTGATTGGTCGATCTGTCACTAGAATGGGGTACGTCGCCGCGGTCGTCGTCGTTGTGGTCGGGCTTTTGACCCAGATGTCGATGTCGCCGATGCGAACCCGCAGCGACCCGTCCCCCGTCCCGCCGCCAATTTTGCAAGTCAGGTGGAAATATGGGCGCTCGTAACGTTCTCCGGACTGCAGTTCCAGTTCGGTTCGTGCTGCCAAGCCTGGCAGCCTGGCCAAGCCCTGCAGGCTGATTCCCGCGCGCACGAGTCCGAGGGAGACAGAGCGACGGCTCAGCCTGCCGCGGGGGAGAATGATTGTGAAACGGGCGAGCTGATCACGGCGGGGTTGTTGCATTTGGAGCAGCGATACGATCCGTGCTCACTGTTTAACTTTTTTCGCTCGCTGTTGCAGGTGCACTATGAGGTGGCCCGCCCCCGCCACTGCCGCCGCTCCACAGCCAGACGCGCCGCCATGATCGGAGTGCCCCCCGGCCTCTTGGGTAAGTCGCAAAAAAACAAAACCACAGTTAGTTTTAAGAGAGGGGAAGAACCGATCGCCCTGGGCTGGACGCCGCCAACCGCCGACCGGACCGTTGGCGTTGGCCGCAACAAAGGGTCGCCTCGCCGCCTCGCCGCCCCGCCAGGACCGCAAAGCAGAGTCGCCCAGTCGGCGCTTCTCCGCGAACGGCCCGTAATTGTATCTGAAATTTTATATTTGGTTTTACGAGCGTGTTCCACCGCGATGGCGCGAGCGTCCCGCAGCAGCAGGCTCATTTCGAGCTGTGCTTTGTCTCTGTCTCCCTCACGCCGCTACGGGACACTCCACGGTGCGAGAGAGGCAGAGCGACGCGGCCATCAGAGATTAGGCCGCGCAAAAAGTGTTCCTGCCTGTCCCGTGTGCTCCGCGGCGCTCGGCGCTCGGCGGGCGGCAAATGGGATTCGCCGTTATAGCCGGGATGTAGAGCATGAGGGTCGTGACGAGGATCTCGAAGCGTGACAGGAAACACGAGTACCTTGGCGGCGCCCTGGCGGCGCCCTGCCGGAGGACAAGGCGGCCGCCCTGCAGCCGCGACCCGGCCCACCGCCACCGCCTCGCCGCGCAGAGCGGGTCCGCGTTTTTTCCTAGCCCGACAGCCCGACACTGCAACATTCCAAAGCGAAAGGTGGCCGGAGTGACTGCTTGGCGCCGATACGGATGCCGCTACCCCGCGGCGCGGAGACTTTGTGCGGGCCGCGCGGGGTATCGCCGACGCCCTTCACGCGGCTGCGCCGTCGCTGGGCGCGATAGTGCAGGCCCCGGCCGTTGGCCTGCCTAACGGGGGTGTCGTTGTCCTCGGCGAGCGCGGCGTGCGCGGCGTGACGCAGAGCCGCGGCGCGTGTCTTGGCGTGACTGGAGCCTGAGGCTGCGGCCCGGAAGCTGGCAAGCAGGCAAGCTATGGCCGTCAGTCGCTGAGCCTAATCCACGTCCTTCCGGCACCGCCTTGCCGCCTGGCTTCTTGTCGGCGCGGTGCAGCCATTAGGTGCAGCCCGGGGCGCCGCCGCGCCACGCCCGTCGAGTGCAGCGTCGCGGAGGACCGCCAGCGCCCCGGGAAGGAAGGGAAACTTAGAGCACGTTACTGACGAGCCACGCCGCGCCACGCCTCGCCACGCCTCACCGGCGCACCGCGTTAATTTCAAACGAACGCGAGAGAAAATGAAAACGGCTTCGCGGCGGCGCCGGGATTCGAACCCCTTCCCAATTAGGGGCGACGCTGGCAGCCCAGCCGATGCGAGTGAAACCTGCTCGGCAGTCCGACAGTGAAAATGAGGAATGGGGGCGGCGAGCGGTGGCGAGACGAGCAAACGTTGAAATTCAACTTGTACACTCTATGGAAGCTGGTCCCGCAACGGTCCGCGGGGTCCGCGGCCAGTGGCGGCCCGCCCGCGGCCTGCCCGCCACGCGATCGGATCTCCGAAGCGGCCGGCAACTGCAGCCAGCAGCGAGTAGCGCAGCAACGCAGCGGACTAATGGACAGGACTTTCATCCACGACCATCCGCTCGCCTGCGCTGCCTGCGCGTCCGTCTGTCTGTCCGTCCGTTTGTCTGGGTTGCTTTCAGCTCGGCGATGCCGGCAAAATATGTGCACGTGCGCTCGGCATCGGCACGCGCCACACGAGCGTGTCGTGCCGGCCCGCCCCGCCCCGCTCCGCCCCGCTCCGCCCCGCCAGGTTTCCATTCCTGCAAAAGGACTCACTTCACTTGACAGTAATTGAACCATTACTACGGCCGTGAGTCACTCGCCAGCTGGGCCAGCTGCAGCTGCCCAGGCAGATGCGAGAAAGTGCCGCCGAGTCCGCCGCGCAGGTGGTGGCCGTCGACATCTGCGCCGCCTCCACCGCCGCCACCGAAGTCGGACGCTTCGACACGTTTTCGCGGTGCGCGGTGGCGGCGGCGGCGGGGAGTGTTGAAATTTCCTGACGCACTGATGCATATGCATGCCGACTAGGCACGAGCATCCTGCGCGTCTTTTGTGTGCGCGGGTACAGTATGTGTTAGTGTGAGTGTGTTCGCACCTCGTGGACTCTACGATGTGCGTGCGTGTGTGTGTGTGTGTGTGTGCGAGCGTTATCGCCGTGCCCCCATCTGCAGCTGCGCACGCTACGGCAGCTGGATGAGGCCCTCCCCGGACCTGCCGGGCCTGCTAGGGCCTGCCCGTCGAATCCCGGAGCCTGGCTGCCTGGCTCATGTCAGTGCGGATCCTCCTACTTTCGTCATGCGCATGAACGCTTCGAACGGCGACGCGGGCCCGTCCCGCCCCGCCCCGCCCCGCCCCAGCGAGGCCCACTAGGCGTTCAAGTGGGCGTCGGTGGCGCTCCCGATCGTGCGGCAGCAGTGCGCATTAGCGCAGCACGTGGCTGGGAGGGGAATTCCCAGCATGTATTTTCCTTGCCTCGCCGTGCCTTGTCGTCTGACGGTGGGATGTGCTTCGCTCTGCTGCAGGTCTACTACTGACGGCGGCATGCCTCCTGGGCCCCGCGCGTGCCGCCACGCCGCCCCCGGAGCAGGGCCCCGCCGCGCCATGGGAGGCGGCCGCGCCGCCGGGGGTCGCCGTCGACCTGGCCAAGCCCGTCCTGAACGAGCTGGTGTCGGGGCCCCAGGCGCCCCAGGCCCCACAGGCGCCCTCGCTGGAGCAGGCGGTCAAGGCCGCCGAGGCCACGCCGCAGCCCACTAGTGCACCTGGTGACAGCCACAGTACAACGCCGCAGCCCACCAGGCTCGCGGCAGCAGGTAAGCGCAACTGACACACCGGGTAAGGTCAGCCCCCAACCTTTTGAAGTGGACGAAAGCTGCATTATCACTTTCATTTTTCAGGGAATAAATTACCACGGCCGACGGAGAAGACACCCGCCGAGCGCGGTCCTCGGCTGGTGAGCACGGAGCAAGATGCCAACTCGCTGGCCACTCGGCCTCGCACGCACCGCCAGGACGCCGTCGGAGGGGAGGCCGAGGACGCGGACCCCGCGGGGGGCATGACCAAACGTCCGCGCGTCCGTATTTCGGTGCGCCGCGGCGTCAAACCCAACGCTACCTCGAGTGCCCCGACGCAGCTCCCCGCCGCCCCCGCCGCCCCCGCTGCGCCTGCGTCGCCCCCGCCCACCAAGGAGGCGGACTGGAAGCCCTTCGCCGTGGAGGACAACGCGCTGCTGACGACGGAGCCGCCCGCCCCCGCTGCCGCGGCCAAGCCCGGACCGCCGCCACCCACAGTGGCCTCGGCGCAGCCGCAAGAGCGCCCCGCCGGCAAGGAGGTCGGGGAGATGATGGAGCTGAGCTCGGTGTCGCCGCTGCAGCGTTCCAGGTTGTCGACGCTGCGGTGGCGACACCCGGAGCGGGACGACGGCCCCACCGAGCCGCCGCGAAGGCTGCGGCACCGGGAGACACCGTGGGAGGCCGGCGCCACCACCACACACAGGTAGGAACGCCAAAGGCTTAAACTCCCAGGGCGTCACTTCACTCTTTCCTTTTCATTTTACTATTGCTCGCTGCAACGCCCCGATTCCGATATGCCGACTGTCTGCAGGCCGCACTCCAAGCGCGGGTCCGTCCGGTATGGTGCTAGCGCTGCGACCCCTGCGGCCTCGACTTCCACGTCGACATCCACGTCGACCTCCACGACGGGTGCCACGCCCACCAAGTCGTTGGACGAGGACATGCGCGTCCCCGAGACGGCCTACGCGTGGTCCTTGGCGGCCATGCGCGAGCCAGGCTCCCCGGGGCCCTCGGGGGCCGCCATGCCGGAGGAGGCCCCGCAGGGGGTCGTTCCCATTGCGGGCCCGTCGTTAACCACAGAGTCGCCAACCATCGTCATCGAGGTGTCCACCCTGCCAGGCAAGTCATTTATTTGAATTCACGCTGCGGCCATCGAGTCGGTCAAGTTGCCGAATGGCGCTCTCGTGTCACCGTCACATCGTGTTGTACTGTGTCACTGTGTCGTGTTCCGTGGCTAAAGTCTCTTTCCGGCCCGCTTTCGCAGCACCGCGTGTAACATTCAAACTCCTAAATTGCTAACTCTCTAAAAAAGGTTGCCATCAGCCTCGCTTTCCGCCATGGGTGGCAGTCATGTGACTAAATCTCCTCTCTGCACAACAGACGTGACTCCCGCTCACGCGCACGCCATCCACACGGTGCACGCGGTGCCCGCCAAGGCCGAGGCCGAGGAGTTCAGCAAGGACCGGCGGCCGGCGCCGCAGACGCAGCCCGACAAGATGAGCAACATGATGCTGGACTCTGAGCCCCACCTGCCGCTGGAGAGCGTGTTCTCGACCAGCCGGCCCGCACCGCGGCCGCAGAGCAAGCCGCCACTGCCCGCAGCGCCCGCCACACCCGCCGCGCCCACCACGCCCGCCACCAACAACACGGGAGAGAACCTGGTGGTGCAGCCGCTGCCAGAAGACGTGATCGTGGAGGTGGAGCCGTCGCGCGCTCCGACGCGAACCCCAGCCTCCACGCCGCCAAGCCCCGCGCACATCGCACACAACGCGGTGCAGGCCTCAGACGACGAGGAGGAGGACGATGACGAGCCAACCAACCCGTCCAACATCCACGTCATCGACCCACCCGACCTGGCCACGCCAGCAATGGGCCCAGCCCCCGCCGCGCCTGCAGCCCCCTCGTCGACGTCAACCACGTCCACCACTAGCGGCCGGCCCGACCTCTGGCGCCCAGTGCAGCCAGTGCAGCCAGTGCAGCCGGCAGTGCCGACGCCAGGCACCCCCGCGGGGCCGGGGATGGTGGAGTACTTCACTATCGCGCCGTCGGCCAGCGCGCCCAGTGCACCCAGCGCACCCAGCGGCTCGACCTCGGACTCGGCCTCGGGCCCCGCGAGTGGTTCTGGCCCGGCGAGTACAACGTCGATGGGCAGCGCGCCAACGGCCGAGGCCTCGCCCAGTGGCGCAGCTCCAAGCGCGGGCGCCGACCAGGACTTGGACGAAGACGTGATTCCATCGGCCGCCGCCCCGACCCCGCTGCCAGAGGACACGGTGCCGTCCACGCTGCCGCCCGACGACGCGGCGGAGGAGGAGGAGCGCGAGGAGGACGCGGTGCTGGGCCCCGTGCTCGTACCCACGACGCGCGGCAGGCCGAACACCACGCCGGCGGCCGCCGTGACCGAGGAAGACGACCCCGTCGACATGTCGAAGCGGCAGCCACCCGTTGCCACCGTCACTCCGGAAGACGCGTCTCCCCCGGCCAGGGTGCCGATCGGCGGCGACGTCCAGGACAAGACCACGGCGTCGCCAACACTCGCTGAGCCTACCGCGCCGTCGGTGGACACCTCCGCGGTAACGGCGGCGTCCCCGGCTCCCACGACGCGCACCGCGCCACCGCCCCCACCGCCCACGCTAGTGCCCACCGCCCCCGCCACGCCGCCCGCATCGCCGGCCGCGCCTGAGACGACGCCATCGCCAACTGAAGCCGCCGCGACGACCATTGTCTCCCAGCCTCCGGCGTCGCCGTCGTCCCCACCATCACCAACACCAACAACGCCGACCACCCCGACGGCGTCCTCTCCAACGCCGACGCCAAACGTCGGGGAGGTGCACGGCAGTGACGGCGATATCTCGGAGCCCTTCGATGACACCGGGACACGTAAGTAGTAGAACTCCCCCCAGGACGGGATGCATAAGTAGCGGCACAGCCAGTCCGCCTGCTGTGACTCACAAACTGGCCTAGACTAACTCGAGCCGTGCCGAGGGGCCTTCATTTCGAACAAGCGTCAGATGTAAATGCTCCAATCAAAAGAAAGCAACCACATTTTTAAGTTGTTTAATTGACAAGATTTGTGGCTTGCAATGATTGGCACACTTGATGAGCCCCCCGGTTCTCGCTCGGCACGAGGCGTTGCACTGCATGCGCAACTCCCCAAAGACCGGTCGAGGACCATCACGATCACAGCCTTCCTCCACACTCTCGCGGTAACCTCACACAGTGATAACCTGCTTTTCAAACTCATTTTGCAGCGCTGCCGGAAGAACCAGTGCCCGAAATCACCCCTACCCCCACCCCCGAGCCGCCACCCGCATACCTGCGTCTCGTCATGGAGTCCGACTGGGGGCGCTTCTGCCAGGAGGTGGAGGCCTTCAAGGACGCCGCTGCCTTCCTCATGACCAACGGCACGGGCATGTAAGTCAAACTCCAGCAGCGGTTTTTTTCTGGACAAAAAGAAAGGGATACTGGAATGATTTTTTCTTTGTCGGTTTCCAGGAAGGTACACGCCTCGCAGGTAGTGCTGCTCAACACGGGCGTCTCCTGCTCCGAGGCCGCCGACGAGGCTCGCGCCGAGGACACGACCACCACGGAGTCGCCCAGCGCCAGCGCCAACCCTATGAGCAACATGATCATCATCCAGATGTACGTCGCCGACACCGCGCTCCACTTCAACCGCAACCTCACCGAGGACTTCCTCCGTTTCTGGGGCTGCAGGGGGCTGGAGTACCCGGTAAGCGACGCCTGGCAACGCCTGGCAACGCCCAGAAGCGACATTTCTTGGCGCCTCGTTTGGGCCTAACCCAGCGGTTCCCAACCTTTTTCGGTTCGCGACCCCAAATTTGTAACAAAAAATTTCCGCGACCCCCAGGAAGAAATTTTGCGACCCCACGCGACCCCTCCTTTAGCATGCCTTTGATACAAAGTGCGATAATCCACCTTATTTTGGGAGCAGTATTGCCGCAACGTTGATCAAAACGGCCACAAATGTCTTTTAAAAATCGTGTTTTGGGCTGACTTTAAGCAGCCACTGCGTTTGATCCGAGGCGGTATTTCGTCCCCCCTCAACGGGCATTTGGTCTTTGGACCTTCCTTTAGCATGCCTTTGTTACGGAGTGTGATTATCTGCCTTAGTTTGGGAGCAGTATTGTCTCAAAGTTGATGAAAACAGTAAAGAATGCCTTTGAATGCCATTTTGATCCACTTTGAGACAATACTGCTCCCAAACTAAGGCAGATAATCACACTCCGTAACAAAGGCTTTCTAAAGGAAGGTCCAAAGACCAAATGCCCGCTGAGGGAGAGCGAAATACCGCCTCGGATCAGACGCAGTTGCTGCTTAAAGTCGGCCTAAAACACGAGTTTTCGAAGGCATTTTCGACCGTTTTGAACAATTCTGCCAGCCGGGAAACAGCCGCGACCCCAGGCGACCCCAACCACCTCGCCGCGACCCCTCGAAATTTTTTCGCGACCCCAAGGTTGGGAACCGCTGGCCTAACCTGCTCTTCTGCTTGGCAGATCCGCAAGGTGGACCTGGTGCTGCAGCCTCTGGTCGGCGCGGACGGCGGCTCGGGACAGGGCAGTGGTGCGGGGGTCATCGCCGCCATCGCCATCTCCTGCGTGGCCGCCGCCTGCCTGCTCGTCCTCGCCGCGCTCCTGGTAAGCCCCTTTCTTGACGCCCATCCTGGAGGCCCACCCTCGAGGCTCACTCTCACCAACTCAACCTCCCTCCTCTTGCAGCTCATCATGCGCAAGCGGCAGAAGAGCCTGAGCTACGGGCAGCGCTGCACGCCGGTGTCGCTGGACGCCTACAGCCTGGACAGCGTCTCGGTGTGCAACAGCAGCAGCGTGCGCCGCAAGGGCGCGGGGGTGGGGGCGCGCGCCTCGAAGCGCTCGTACGGCAACCCCGCTTTCGCCGACCCGGTGAGCTGAGGGCGGAAGCCGAAAAGCGAACAAAACCATTCCGCCGAGCTGGTGTTTGAACCGCGTCCGTTTCCTTTCCAGGCTGCGCCGTCGCACCCCCTCACCTTCCCGGCGCTGTCCAACGTGAGCTCGGACCGCAGCGCCCTGGAGGCCGAGTTCTCCAACATCCCGCAGGTGGCGCCCAAGGCCGACGAGCTGCCGGACGGCGCCGACACCCGCAACCGCTACGCCAACGTGATCCCCCTGCCCGAGACCAGGGTGACGCTCAGCTGCAAGGATGGCGACCCGCTGTCCCAGTACATCAACGCCAACTACGTCCGCGGGCCCAAGAACGCCGAGAAGTTCTACATCGCGTGCCAGGCGCCGCTCGCCACTACCGTGCACGACTTCTGGCGGATGGTGTGGGAGACGCAGGCCAAGGTCATCCTCATGCTGACGGACCTCGTGGAAGACGGCGTGGTACGTCCAGCAGCAGGGCGATGACCCAGTTAGTGGGCTCACTCACTCTCGAATCGGCGCTCTCATTCTTCATTCTTCTCATTCTCTCTGCAGGAAAAATGTGCCGACTACCTGCCGCCGTCAGAAGTGACCGACTGCCACCGCCTGTTCGGGGACTTCCAGGTCACGCTGAAGAAGCGAGAAGTGAAAGACAAATACGTGGTCTCGAGCATCCAGCTCAAGGTGAGGGCGTCCCCTGTCCCCTTCCCTGCCTCGGCTGCCTCGGCCAGCCCGAGCGCCTGTGAAGCCGAGGGTAGGCCGGCCCGCCGAACGCCGGGGCGTTGCGTGGCTGCCTACCCTGGACTTCACAGGCGCTCCGCCCTCGGCCTCAATCTAACGCCGTTGCCGTTTGCTGTTGCAGAACATGGAGACGAACCTCTGGCGCGAGGCCACGCACATGTGGTACATGGGCTGGCCCAGCAGGGGCGTCCCCGACGACCCCAGCACCATCATCGCCTTCCTGATCGAGGCGCGCGCCTTCATGCGCAACCCCAGCGCGGCGGCGGCGGGCGCCCGGCAGGCCCCCAGGGCGGCGCCGCACGTTGTGCACTGCAGCCCCGGCACGGGCCGCACCGGCACCGTCCTCGCCATCGACCTGTGCATCCGGGAGTTCGAGACGACGCGCCAGGTCGACATCCCGCGCACAGTGTACCGGCTGCGCAAGGACCGCGCGGGCAGCGTGCAGACCAAGGAGCAGTACATGTTCGTCTACAAGGTGCGTCACGTGCGGTACACTAAACGCTGCCCACATCGTCCTGCCGTTTCAATGGAGTTGTGCGATTCTATATCCGCGTCTGCTTCCAGGCCCTGAATCTCTACGCGACCAAGCTGACGGGGGGAGCCCTGGACTCGATATGAAGGATCGCGACTAGTCCACTGTAGTAGAGTTGCCAACACAGCTAGCAAGTCATGAACGGGATGAAGAAGGAACAAAGGAGATGGTGATGTCTTTGGCAAGAGAATACATGTAGTTGCTTTTTTTTCAGCGGTCGGGTACTGCTTTTAACTTCTTTTTATTCTGTTGAGAAATATTACAGCACTGATACCAACTAGGTTTAAGTCGGAGGGCAAAGCTTTAGTTTGAAAGAAAGGTAAGCCTTATCCAACAATGTTGTATTCCAATGTACATTCCATGACAGAAACTAGAATTTTTACTCTTTTTTAACCCATAATTTCCTTGTGTTTTTTCTTTATTTTTTTGTATTCCTTGTTATGGCATCTGAAAATGCACTTAAAGATTTTTTTCAATACCTGGAAAACGAATCTGTGACAGAATGAAAATTGGCTGTGTGGTGTTTTATCTATGTTGTGTTGGTTCATTGTATTTGATAAAATACTCTATTATATTTGTTACTTTTTTTGTTAAAGGGAATGACTCCATGTAAGGCAATGAGGATAAGTTTTGTTGCTCATCCTTGAAAATGTTGAGAGAAGTTGTTATTGTGTGTGAAACAAATGGGCAAGACACAAATAGCTCAATCTAGCTGAACTGGAAGACCCTGTAGTCATGTGATATTATGTGTATGACTTTTTTTATGATGTGTAAAACCTATACATAGACAATTTGTCTTTTGTAGCCGTGATATTAATACAGAAATTTGTATTTGCTTTAGAAAATTTTGACAAATTATATTTTTAATTTATATAGAGAAATTCTACGCACTGAACTTAGTCAATGATTTGTATTGAAATGAGTGTATGTGAATGTAGAGGAGATGACATATTTTAAGTGGAAAGATTAGAACTTCAACTTCTTGACAGGCCTGATTGTACAATGTATAAAAAAGATGCATCACTGGCATTTCAAACGTACGTAAATAGGTTCAAAATATTCATGAAACCTCTTTGATCGCATTAGTCCTGATATGTTAGAGTTATGGTTTCTTAATTAATGAGATTACAAATGACTGCAAAGTTGATCTCTTCATAAACTAGGACTTGCAGTTGATTGATTTTAGCTCTGAGGTGACTCCTATGTTCTGATGGAAAATATGATTTGAGGTAATCTAGGTTTGAACTTATGCAGTGAACTTACTAGAGCACCATTGACGTGATGAGCATCACATTTGACTAAACCGTAGCACAGAACCAAAAGATTTTCCGAGCTGGTTCAAAAGAATCATTATTCTATTTAGAATAATTTAGAGGTAGAAAAAAAAGTCTTCCTTAAAGATTGTACTAAGATTTTTAGTTTAAATATTGAAAATATTTATATGCATGTAAATCTTTTTGATGAGTCAGACATGGTACGTAGTATTTTAATTCCAAAGCAGAAAATGTTTCTCTCTATTAAGAATGTGTTTGTACATCCTTTTTCCAAAACTACAACTTGCATAGTTTGGATCATGGATTTGTGCTTGTAGGCCTACTTCATCATAATTAATCCCATTATATGTATGTTACCATAGCATAAATGCTAAGTGCACTGGAAGTCAGCACCCAAAGATTACTATCCTTTGTGTTTTGAATTTTGATTTATTCATTAGACAGTTTGGCAAAAGCACGAAAGGTTTGAGGGTTCTTGTGAATCGCACTCTCTATTGACCTGCAGGGCACATTTGATGCTTCTGTAAAATGGAACTAGATCTTTGTGAGTTAATGACATGACAATTTTTTAAAGTTCCTGTTGTATAATAATAAGTATCTCATAAACAAATACTCTTCACAAATTACAAATCATAAGAAAAATAAATTTTTATAGTCCTGTTGATAGAATGTCAAATTAAAAATATGTTTTAATTAAGCAAAGTGCTACTTGCGAAATTTTTACTTGTACTGTTTGCAGCTAGATTTATCTTAGGTAGTTCAACACTTTCATTTCATAAATTAGCGAAGGAGGACGTTCTAATCTTTTCCCAGAATGAGTCCCCTACATAGTGTCAGTTTAAATTGACAAAGCTGAACATTTCTGTAGGAAATACTAAAGCACACCTAATCAGATCACTGAGCGCAATTTTTTAATGTTAAATTATGGAAAAATATGAGGGACCATTACAGAAACTGCAAAGCAGTACAGTAGGCGCAAGCTCATGGTAGTTATTTATTTATTACTCATTAACCAGCTCAATCCCAATAGAGCGTACCAAGCACTGGAGTTGTACTTCTGTCTTGAATACAAATGTATAATCTATTTTGTAAATGTGTATTTTGTGTGAAATATAAGGAGCAATTACAGAAACTGATTCTCTTTTATTCATTTTTGACATTGATTGAAACACTGCAGGGTGCATACAGAGACAATCGCTCTGGCTGTCTGGAACGTGAGAAGCGGCATGCATAAGCTAAGCCGCCTTTGGACCGCGAGCCGGAAAAGATTGAGAACCGCTGTGCAAGACTTTGACTTGACATGAAGCCCCTAGTCTCCCGCCGGGTAGGCAACCCAACTTACCGAGGAGCCGTCTGGGCCGCCTAGCCGCCAGGGGCCCTGGACGCTGCGTGGCGTGGCGGCCACCAGGTTCGTCCTGCTCACCGCCGTGATACCCGCGACTCCACCCCTCCCCGGCCCAGGCCTTCCACAGAGGAAGTCTCGGACATTCTGCCGGGTAGAGTCTTTAAGTCCGCCGGGAAGACTTGTGTGCTGCATCAGCCGAGCCGTCACGAGCAGGAAGGAGGCCTACTTTTAGCCAAGAGGCGCCCGCAGCGCTGCGAATCCTTGGTCTTGGCCCAGGAGTGCGTGTGCGGGGCGGGGCGGGGAGAAGAACATTCGCCAGTGAAAATGGCAAGACTGTTCAAGCTTTCTGAACGTGCCCTCGGCGGCACGTTGGAAGGGCCGCTGCCGCCGCTGCAGCGCCGAACACGAACGCGGTGGACGCCGAGCTGCCATGCGTCATTGCCCCGCGCACGTGGGGCAGGCCGGGCAGGCCCACCGTCGCGCTGCCTCTCTCGCACCTGTGCAAAACGCCCTATGAGTGCGAATGAGACAGAGCGACCAAAGTACTGTTCGGCGCCTGCCCTGCGCCGGCTGTTGAGCCCGGCGCCCGCCGCGTCGGCAAGCTGGCGGAGCAGAGCCCTGCCTTGAAGGCAGGCGGTGCCGTGGGGCCTGGACCCGCCGACCCGGCGCCGTCCAGCCGGGACTAAGGACTACCCGACCAGCCACCGCCACCTCCGTCTACCCGGCAGACACATTTCTGCTGGACGAATCTGGTTTGAGGCGGTTCTCCGTTCTCGCGGGGCGCGGGACCGCGCGGGGCAGCCGCGGGGAGGAGCGAGCCTTTTGGCCGGCGGGCCGAGCCGAGCTGCGCTGTGCCGAGCCGCGCCGAGCCGCCAACAGGGACCGAGCCGAGCCGGGGCTCTAGCTAGCCGAGGCGCCGCCGCCGCTCAGGTCTTCGCTTATTCGCTCATCCTTCCTTGAGGCGCTTAGCGCGCTTGGCGCTTGGCGCTTGGCAGAGCGAGTATTGTTCGTGATGAGGCATGTCTGCTTCCGAGAGACGCTCTCGGTCGGGGAGGAGGGGGCGGGGTCGCGCGGCGGACGGCGGACGGCGTGACAACGTGACGACGACGCGCGTGTGACAGGTGGGACGGCCCGGGCGGCCTCCACTGCCTCGGACGCCCTCACCTGGAAGTGGAACTGGAGAAGAAGCGGGTTAGTGATCCTCGCCGCCTCCTCTTCCTCGTCCTCGCCCGGTGACGTCACAACGACCTGCATTGATTGGCCGCGGCCGGGGAATTCCCCGTCAGCCGAGCGACGTGCGGCTGGCCCGGCCTGGCGTCCGTCCGTCGTCGTGACGCACCCTGCTGCACCGCACTGAGATCGCGGTGGCGGCTGGCCCAGGGTAGCCCAGGGCCGGCCCGCGTCTGTCTGGCGCCTTGACGCCTTGACGCCTTCATGTTTCTGGGCCATTACAGCGACTCACCCTCGCCAGCCGGAGCGTGGAGGTGCGAAGACCCAAACGAGAGGAACGTTGTCGCACGCGGCGGCAGTGTGGGAGCATCGCACCGCGCGTCTGTGGACGTACCCCCTCCTCTCCCCGCGGGCCTTAATTTTTTGCCTAGGGCTTCCGCGGGTCCGGGCTGGACACCCGGGGCCCGCGGCTATCCGGTGCCATCCGGTTCCAAGACGCGGCGGCTAAGTACCCTCAGACTGCCGCACTGCGGCCGTCGGGGCTGGCAGATTGGCCAAGTAAGTAACCGAGCGAACAACCTGAGCGCTGTGCGGCTGTGCGGCTCGCCAGTGCCCTGCCAAGCATTTGAAACACGTTGGAACAATCAACGAAGCAGCGGCACCCCGCTGTACCGAGCTGTCCAAAATGGTTCTCTGCCTCCGCCACGGACAACAGCCAGTGCCTCCGGCATCGCGCAGTCCCCGGGTTCAAGTCGCCGGGGGGCTCGTCTTTTTGTCCCTGCCAATGATTTGCCTCGGTTTGACGGTGACCTGTCGCTTCTCGGACCGGAACCGGTACGCCAAACGTAGTAATGCATGACACTTTTTTTCTTTTCCCACAACTTTTTATCCAACACGGTGCGCCCGCGGCCCGCCGCTGCGTCGTCAGGTCACTGTAGCGTCCGCGGCACGGTGCGTCCTGGCGGCGCCCGCGGCGTCCGCGCTTCGCCTCGCGAGGTTCGCGCGCTGGGCGCGCTGGGCGCGCTGGGCGGTGGGAGGGGCTGATTACCTGCGCGGCGCGGGGCATCGGCATGGCTGGGCATGGCTGGGCATGGCTGGGCGGCCTGGAGGGGGCACCGCGGGAAGGGGGTGGGAGGGGGCGCCCTTGATAGATCAACATTTGTCACCTGGCGTGTGTACTACTACAATGTTGCGGCTACACGTGCCCTGAAGCCTGCCTGTTTCGGACAATGCGGTGCGCGGGCGAGGCGGGGCGGCGAGGCAGCGGAGCTCAAGGTGGGGCCGAACACTGAGTCAGGCGTCAGCAATATGCCCTTCCAAGGCGCTAAACGTTCGTACTGCCTCTTACACGGCGCGTTCGTCGGGTAATGCTAGAGAGACAGAGCGATGACACATTATGCTGAAATTCCCAGGTCCATCACGTCTCTCCGCGATCTGAGCGGCGATGACTGACGCCAACAATTTAGGCTGCCGTGGCGTGCGTGCACCTGGCGCGTGCACGTAAAAATGTCGGTATGCGGCCTGAGAGCAGCGGGCGGAATGTTGGCCTTTGTTTTCCAGTGAACCAGCGCAGTCGGCGTCAGCCAGCAGGCCCGTTCCGAACCGCGCTTTCGTCGCTCTGCCTCTCTCGCACGCACGGCGCGTTCCGTCGGGTTGCGAGAGAGACAGAGCGATGACACCACGTTTGCTCGGAATCGGTCCCCAGCGTCCGGTATGCACTGGTTCGTCTCCGACGATGCTGGAGTCGTCCTGCGAATGACTCGACGCCAACAATGTTAGGCGCCGTGGCGTGGCGTGGCACGGCGTGGCGCGGTGCGGACCCGTGATAATAATGTCGGTGGATGACGGCCTTGATGAGCACCGCGAGGCGGAATAGTGGTGGCGCAGTGTAAATTGAAATTGGTTGTCCGCGGCTGCATCAGTGTGAGTGCACTGTGAGCGCACTGCACTGCAGGAGCCGAACTACTGCGCCGCACCCCGACCCCGACCTTTTTGGGGCCGTCCCGACGTTCCGTGTCCGTCTCCGTCCGCCGCATCGGCGTTTAATATTGTCTTTATCTCCACCGCAGACTCGGTCAGCTCCCCCCCCCCCTTCCCTTTTCCGCCTCGTCCACCTAATCCACCCTATAAAGCTCGGAGCGTCTCCTCGTTATCTACGCAAAGGCTCGTCCGCCACGCCACGCGTCACGCCACGCCAGAAATTACATTGAACCGGCTGAATCCACCCCGAACTCGATAGAACGGCCGGCCGGCCGTGCAACAACACGATGCACGTTGACCATGGTACATGGCGCCGCATGGCGCATCCTGCGCGTCCGGCTATCGCTACCGTCGCAACGCTTGCCCAATGCACTAGAAGAAGAGAGATCTTTTCTTAGAAAGGAAGGGTGGACAGTGGACGGCGTCCGGTCTGTGGGTGGGTTGTCTAGCGGGTGCGCGCTGCGACGCAGACCCACCCCGCACCCCACCCCACCCACGTCCGGGCGCCTCATCCGTTCCGTTCCCGGCGGTGGCGGCCTGCCGGCGGCAGGCTGATTGTTGGGGGATGGCCGATGACTGACTGCGCCGACGTGCCGCTGCGCGCCACGTAGTCCGGGGCCGGGCCGCCCAGCACGGCTCTCGGAGCGGAAATGCCAGTGGCGGCACGAGGCGCAACAGGTCCTGCGGTGGGGCCGGTGGGGCGCCGCGGTCAGCACGGCCAGCACGCAGAGCAGCCCGCCGGCCTCGGACGCCTGCCGGATAACGCACGTGTGCGCCGGCCACGGCGGCAAGGGCCTAGCCCGGCCTGCCCGGCTTGCCCGCGGCATGGAGGCTCGGCGCGGGGGCGCGCTATTTTCAGATCACAACATTGTGAGAGTGGTGGGCAGCGCCGGCAGCGCACCCCGACGCCCCCGCCCGGACTGGACCTCCCGCGCTGCCCCGCCCCGCCCCCAGCCGCCACCCCCACCCCCGCAAGCCCTCTCCCCCGCAGAGTCGGCCAGTCGGCCCGTGCGGTCGCCCCGACCCCCGACGTCCAACGGCCTGGGCAGCCAGGGCAGCCAGGGCACAGCGCGCCTTGGCAGGGCGGAGTCTTCTACGACGCCAGTCCGTCAGTTTGCACCACCCCGCGGTGGAGACGCCCAGACGCCCCGCAGCACGGCCAGCACGGCCAGCACGGCCAGCCGGGTGGGCAGCGCCACGCAGCGCCAGGCAGCGCAGGGACCTTCGTCCGCCCCCGCGCCACCCCCGCGCCGCCCCCGCGCCGCCCCCGCGCCGCCGCCCGCCAGGAGGTCACTGTCCCTGCCGTCACTTGTTGTGTGCGAAGAGGGTGGACAGGACGCGCTGTCCCGTGTCAGGGCACTCCGGCTCCCCCAGCAGACGGTGACGAGACCTCGCTCAGACCAGGGTCCTCCGACGACGGGGAGGTGCTGACGACGGGGAGACGACGGCGAGGCCCTGACGACAGGCACGCAACAACCGGCAACCCTGGTGGAGGATCCTCATGATGGGGTCCGAGTCGGGGTGAGTGTCTTCCCTTGGACGCCATTCATTTGTCGGCATTAGCTTAGTCTGTTTATCTTGTTTACTACTTTCACGTTCAAACGGGACAAACTGTTTTTGCTCTTGCTTTTTGTGCTGGATTGTGCTGAAGAGATAAGAATAAATATTCTAAAATGCGACTAAAATCGCGTATGCGGTCACCTATTCCAAGGTGCGTAGTACGTAGTGAAGCCAGATCCTCGAGATCGCGGGACTGCGGGGCCGCGGCCGCGGGGCCCACACTGCCCACAGCCCAGCCACCCTCTCCACTGTACTGGCCTGGCCGACCGCACAACAACGCTTTAACGACCGCAGCCCGGGACCGCGAAAGTGCATCGCGACGATATCAGCCCTTGCCGGTGTGGCGTTGTAACCGCGGGTGTAACGGTGTAACGACATCCTGGCCAAACAAGCGGAACCGGCTCGCCCGAAAGTGGAGTTGAGTTTTCAGGGTCGCGCGGCGCGTCGGCGCGGCAGCTGGCAAACAAGGGGGGTATCGCAGACGTGGCGCGGGTAGCGGGGCGTCGGGAGGGCGGGATGCATGGAATCAAAAGGCGAACGGGGGCCGGCGGGGCTTTTGCGGAATTTAAAAATAGTGCGGTATGTGCAGCGGCGAGCCGAACACAGGCCGAACCGAACCGCCGAACAGGCGGCGACGCTTAGGCCTTGGCCTGGGGCACGGCTGGGGCTCGGCTGAAGCTGGGCTGGGGCTGGGCTGGGGCTGGGCTGGGGCTGGGCTGGGGCTGGGCTGGGGCTGGGCTGGGGCTGGTCGGGCCTAATGCACACTGGGCTCGTGCTCCTCATGCTCCTCATGCTCCTCATGCTGCCCGAGTGCCTTTAATGGCGGCTTGTTTATTTTCAGATTGCTTCCGTAGCGACTCGCCCCCAGGATGCCGACGACGGTGCGCGCATTTCAATGGGACCCCTCGGCCGCAGAGTCATGTTCTCCGGCGTGTCACCGACCGACAAGGCCACCCCCGGCAAGGCCACCCCCGGCAAGGCCACCCCCGGCAAGGCCGGCAAGGCCGCCCCCGAGCCCGTGGACCCCTTCCTCGCGCGACGCCGCCGCCCGTGGCCGGGGCGCCACCGGAGGTCCATGCCGGCGGGGTTCGTGTCGGGCGCGGCGGCGGGGCGGCTGGCGGGGGCGGGGGAGCCGGGCTCCTGTTTCACGCTGCCCTACGACCGGGTGAGTGCGTCTCCGCCGAGTCCACCGAGTCGGCCGCCTCGGCGTCGTGGCCGCCGACGCGGGCTGTGCCGCGGGGGCTGTGTGCAGTGCGGGGTTCAAGGTTGGGCGGCCACTTTTCTCGGGCTTGCTGTGTGTTCGGACAACACCGCGACGGCCTATGTGACGTGCTGCGGGGTGGGGTGGCGCCGCGCCTCGCGCTCCGCGCTCCGCCTGGCGAGGAGTGATGAATTGGGAAGTGCGGAGAAAGACTCAACCTCAGCGCGGCGGCGCCCCTTGCCTCGGCGGGGGTCGGCTCAAGGCTGCGCGCCGCGCGGGGTTGGGCGGAGGGGGTCGCGGACGGCAAACACGGAGGTGGAGGTGCGTCGTTCCTCCTGGGTGGCGTGGCGGCGGAACACACGTGCGGGCTGCGCGTCTCGCCGAGCGTCCAGCTGTCTGCGTGCGAACCGTGCGGACAGGTCCACTGATTCCGGGCAGTGCTTTTGTCGCCCTGTCTCTCTCGCTCTCATCGGACTCCTCGGGAGGAGTGCGAGAGGGACAGAGTAACGAGAGCACTGGTCGGAATCGGACTGCAGTGGGGCGCGGGGCGTGGCTGACGCCGTGGTGGGGACTCATCCCCGCGGCGGCGGCCTCGACGGGCAGGTCAAGGGTGCGTGCGCCGGGGCGTCTGTCACTTGGTGCGGCGTGCTGCGGTGTGGCCTAGGCCCGCCCGGCCCGTGCGCCGCTCCCCTCCACTGTGTCGGCGGTGGCCCAGTGAGAGAGTACTCAGTCCGCACCGGGCCAAGCCGACGGGTAGTACCGGGTGGCAGCGGCACACCGTGTTGGCCCGCCGCACCGGCCCGACGCACCACGCTCCACGCACGAGGCCACGACGACGGCCACGACGACGGCCACGACGACGGCCACGACGACGGCCACGACGACGGCCACCCCGCGAGTACCCGCCGCAGTGACGCAGTGAAGCAGTGCACCCCGCACAGAGGTAACCTAGGTAACCTAGGCGGGGTCCGCGTCCGCAGCGTGCCGTCCCGCTGCTGGAGCCTGGAGCGCTCGATGCGCTCGATCCGAGTCGTTTTGCACGTGCGCGCCGTGTGCCCTGTGCCGTGCTGGAGGCGCTCCCCGCCGTCTGAGAGCGCCCGCCACACCGCCAGTCTCCCCGCGGTCGGCGATTGGCGCGGTCGCGGTCGCACTGCCACTGACTGGAGCCTGGAGTGCGGAGTGCCAAGTGCTGGAGTGCCGGAGTCAGCGGCCCGGAGCTAGGCGCGCTAGCCGCGCTAGCCCGGACGGCCCGGACTTCCCGCGCGTGGCGGTGTGGTGGCCTCCCCGGCCACAGTAGCGCGCGGCCTGCGTTCGCGGCAGCCTGGCACGGTGGCGACCAGAGAGCACGGCTATAGCTTCAAGCCGGCGACCAGCCGGACTGTCATTGTCAGCGCGGTGGAGCGGCAGTGAGCCGTGGAGGGTGGACTCTCGGGTGGACTCCCCCAGCCGGAGTTCGACAGTGCGGCACACGGCGGCACAGGTGTTCCAACCTAAGCGAACCAGGAAGGAAGGTACTTATCGGCGGCCTTGCGTTGGGTCACCGCGTGCGCGGCGTGCGCGGCGAGCGCGTCAAGGGCCACGGGCCGCGGGCCACGGGCCACGGGCCGACGGGAAAGCCCGGCCCGTCACCTGAAGGACTCGCTGTATCAGTGAAAGCCTGCATATCAGCGCCCAGGGCCGTCCTTGCAGTGACGCCCCAAAGGTCGGCAGCCTTGGCGCCGTGTCCAAGAACACAATGGTGATGACGGCAGTGTGCTGGACTCGACATGCACCTCGCGTGTTAGACTGTGCCACTGCCATAGACTCCGAAAGCATTTATTTTTATCAGCCGTCTATTCGTTCCTTTCGTGAAAAATGACACATCAGTCACGTCCCGACAGCGCCGTTGCATAAGCCCAACCTGCGCACGACAACATTGGCGGTCATTTTTCCAAAACGTGTCCGGGCCGCGAGCTTCCCACCCACCCACGCACACTAGCAAACTTTCCGGCGACGGTCCGGGCCGTGCAACGACGCAACGCCGAAATAACCAGTCGGCCATCCAGCCCAGCTTTGTTGCACCGAGTGCACAGTGGCCGTGCCCCCGGCCCCCGGCTGCCCCCGGCCGCACACAACTTGTCAGATTATCAGCGGCCACTACATCAACTCCCCCCACCTGTTGCCTGTCGGCTACCCGAACCGCTTCGCACCGCCCGTCGCCCCGTCGTCGCTCGTCGCCATGCACAAGTAGTGCGTGGTGGAAATGACGGCCCCAGCAGCCTGAGGAGTCGTTATCGTCGCTCTGTCTCTCTCGCACCTATACGGGACGCCCCATTCGTGCGAGAGGGACAGAGCGCATCGTTCCGCGGCTCGTTAGTTTGGCTTTCGGTCGCTTCGGCGGCCTCAGCTGTCAGCCGCCTCATTGTCCCCTATTGGCTGTCGGTCACCAAATGAAGCGGCGCGCGCGATCCGCGTTTGGGGGGCCTGACGCGCCGGACGCACTGCCCAGTGCCGTCGCACTGCACTCGCACTGCACTCGCACTGCACTCGCACTGCACTCGCACTGCACTCGCACTGCACTCGCACTGCACTCGCACTGCACTCGCACTGCACTCGCACTGCACTCGCACTGCACTCGCACTGCACTCGCACTGCACTCGCACTGCACTCGCACTGCACTCGCACTGCCCGGCCGCTCGCGCGGTCCAGCCGGTTCAGCGGCGGCGCGGGTTCGAGTCCCAGCCGGATCGGACCGGACCGGCGGCGGTGCTTTTCTGCGAGAATCTCATCGGTCGGCCGCAAACCGCAAACGGCGCCGTATTCTCGCTTTATGTCCGCTTTACTGCGCAGCCCTTCGCGACCGCTACGCGTGCCCCGCCCCCCCAATCCGATATGGGGCTGTCCACATTCCACGTGACGCTGGGGTGAAGCTCGCTGGACCCCCTTCTCCGCGCGGCTTGACCTAACCTTGTTGTCACTGGATCCGCCACGCGCGCGGCCGCACCCTTGACTGCTGTTACGTGATACGTGGACGCCCCCTTATTAACCCAGCAACAGGGGGTCTCGCGGTCTCGGGGGGAGAGGGGATGAACTGCTCCCAGCCGAGCAAAGCATTGGGTTTGTCCCATTCTTCTGCCGTTGTTTTTACGCGAGCGGCGGCATCGTTAACTTAAACAAACTCGGTGCCGCCCGCCCAGTTCGCAAGGTAGCGCACGTCTCCCTCCAACTCGTGGGGCGCCCCCTCGGAGCGAGAGAGACAGGGCATTGTTCGGCCTGCAGGTGTCCGTCCGCTGATTACAAGCCGGGCCTCGCCCCTCGCAGTCATGCCGCGGCAGTTCGCAAGGCGGGGAGATGAACAGAGTCAACAGTGCCGGGGCCGCGGGGCCGCGGGGCGGTCTACCGAGAAAGCAGCGCGGCTGACTCAACGCCGGGGCAGTTGATCCGGGCCGAGTGGGCAGGGCAGGCCGGTCCAATGAGCCGCGAGCGCGCATCTTGCATCGTCGTACTATTTCGGTGGCCCGCCGAGGCGAGCCGAGCCCCCCGGGCTGCCCTGGGTGCCGGCGAGTGTTTGGCGAGCCGGCCTACTCTTTAATGGCCTGTGGGGCCTCGACTAGCCTCGACTAGCCTGGGCCACGCCGCCGCGCCGCCACGCCGTCCCGCCCTGCCCATAAAGCCTTATCTGTCTCTGCCGATTGGGCGGCGGGCTGGGCAGGCCGGCCGGGACAAGACACGCGGGGTAACGCGAGTCGAAGTCGAAGCCGAAACCGAAATCGCGCTGCCGAGCTGCCGAGCGAATTGGCGGGGCGGCGAGGCCTAGACCAAAGGCCAGCGGTCACCCCCGGCTGGCTTGCCGCTCCAGCGGCCAGCGAGGTGCTGCTGCGGCGCTGCGGGGGGCGGAGGCCGGCCCGCGGTGCACGCGCGTGCTCGTGTTGCCTGCCGCCCAGGGGCTCCTCTCTGGCCGCTGCATCGCGATGCCGCACCCAGAGGCCGCGCCGCGCCCCGCCACGACCAGCCTCGTCCAGCCTCCCCGCTCCAGCGCTGCAGCGCTCCAGCAGCCTCGCTCCGGGTCGTTCCGGATCGAACCCGATCTGCGGCGGCGGCCGTGGCGGGCCGTGGCGCGGTGGCGGTGGGTCAGTGGCGTGCGCACGCCGCGCAAGGCGTGACGTGACGCACGACGCATGTCCGAAACCACAATCCCCGGATTATGGCCGAGGAGGGCGAAGCGAGGTTGGGGCAGGTTGGCTCCAGCGGGTCGGCGGGCCGGCCTCTACGCGCGCTCTCAAATTGAAATGATAATTGCGATGAGACCAGCCGGTCGGCGTTGGGCCGAGGCCGGGGCAGGGCCAGCAGGGCCGGCAGGGCCGCTGTGCGGTGCGAGTGGACGGTGGCACGCCGGCACGCCCCCGCCGAGTCTGGCCGAGGCCTGGCCGAGGCCCTGCTGGCCGTGGCCGTGACCCCCGCCAGCGTACTGACGTCGCCTCTCTGTCTGCAGCGCAGCAACATGTCGCGCTTCTCTGTGAGCCACCCCGAGGACGGCGACGTCTCCCGGATCCCCGACGTGCCCGAGAACGGCGTGCTCGAGATGCGCCGCCACGACACGGCGCCCACGCTGCAGATGAGCGTGGAGACCGACCTGGACCTCTTCTCCGCCGCCTCCACCACCTGCCTGTACGACGTGGGATGGCGGCAGCAGCGGCGGCGGTCTCTCGTCCAGCTCACCCGCGAGGCCCTGCCCCGCGTCGACAACTACCGCAACGGGCCCAAGAAGAGGCCATCTCTCGGCGACCTGCACGACTGGCACGGACAGGGGGTGAGTCCATGTAAACAAACACGGCCAATCGGTCTGCACGAGTCCTCTGTGGTCCAGTAGGCCACCACGCCACCGGGAGGGGCTGGCAGCGCGCCAACAACATAGCTCTGTCTCTCTCGCGCGGCCCACCCTCCGCCCACGCTGGATCACGTACTCCACGTGTGTGATCTCGTAAACATAGAGAAGAACGGACCCGATGCGCCACTGCAGCCGGCACGGCTGGCACACCCGCTTTTGCGTGGCGGAAACTATTTTTCTCTGAGTACTTCTCGCGCTCAATGTACTCGCGACTTGAGTGTCGGCGAGGCGTGGCACGGCGTGGCGTGGGTGGCGGCTTGTGGCAGGCCGGGCCGCCGCCTCGCATAGTTTCGGCGTCCTCTACCCGCGTGCCGCGCCGCAACTACTGTGTCGGGATGAGCCGAGACGAGCCGCGTCGCTCGTTCCATGCAGTAATTATCACCTGCCAGTTTGACTTTTAGCACTCTTTTTGTAGCTCGGTTTGGTGGTTGGTGAGACTTGGCGGACTTGGCGATACCAATCAGGCGCACGTAGGATGCGGTCGGCGGTCGGTTTGGAGGTCCGAGGGGACGCGGGCAGCGAGCTGGGAGCTGGGGCCTCATCCCGAGAGTCATTTTCGTCGCTCTGTCTCTCTCGCACCTATACGAGACGCCCAAGAGTGCGAAAGAGACAGAGCGACGAAAACGACTCTCGGAATCAGTCTGCTGGGGCTCGGCGAGGGTACTGAGGTTGCGCTGGGTGGCGCTGCGTGCGGCGGCAGCATTTTTCAGCGGCTCTGACCAGATCCACGACCCACCACTGGCAGGCGAGCCAGGCGAGCCAACAGGGCCATCCATCCAGCTCCGGGCGACTCCGGGCGACTCCGGGACACACACAAAGACGCGGGCGCCCCGCCCCAACCCCGCCTGTTGCCACATCGCGGCGAGGGTGGGAAAGGGGAGGGGGTCGAACGCGGGCAATAACGCAAGACTACATGCAGGCAGGATGAAAGTCGCGAATTCTTTTTATTTCGGCGCCACGAGAGAGGAGCACCTCGAAGAAAAAAAGCGGGTGCCCGCGTTGGCGAGTTGGGTCGAGGAAGACTGGCGCGCGGCATGGCGTGGCGTGGCGTGGCGTGGCCTCCTGAATAGACGCGCTGCCGCCTGCCAGGAGTGCCGGGCCATAGAAGCCTCCTCGCGGACAAGGCCGTGAACGTTCTGCTTTCAGGAGGCCAGGCGGCCTGGCGGCCAGCCCCGCGCCTCATGGCCCTCACGCCCTTCATGCTCGCGCAGTGCCATTCCGCATTCCGCCGGTAGCAGCCGAAGGGCCGCCGAAAAACCGAAGGGCCGCCGAAGAACCGAAGGCCGTGGCGTCGGCACAGCCGAGGGCGTGCGTGAGTCGCCTTTAAAACCGTCAAAAAGCTGGGGTACACTCCGCCACTCGCCACTCGCCGCCGCCCCAGCCGCCGCCTCCGCCTCAGCTGCCGCCTTCACCCCCTCCCGCCCCCGGACGACCCCTGCCGTGGAGAGGGCAGGCCGGCCGCGCGTCTCGGCGCACGTTGGGTTGCCGCCTCCACGGCGGCGGCAAGCGCTTCGCTCCGACGCCCTTCTGCGCTTTCCTCGTCGTCGTCCTCGTCGTCGTCCTCGTCGTCGTCCTCGTCGTCGCCGCCGTCGGGCGGGGCGACCGCAGCACGTACAGCACGCGCGCTTTGCCTCACGGTCAATAACAGTCATAACGGGACCGAATTCGGAGCGCGGACCAACGCGCCAATTTCTGTGTGTGATTAGGTCCCTGCTTGTGGGCGTGAGTGCATGTGCGTGTGTGTGTGTCGGTGGGTTTCTGTTTTCCTCCGCGCGGCGCGAACGGTGTGGATGCCACTCAGAGAGAGAGAGAGGAGAGATCCCCTCGCGGACTAGGTAGCACGTTTTACGCACACTTTCACACACTGACACGCAGGCGCAAACAAAAAAACACACGGACAGACACGCCCACAGTCATAGACCCCCGAACCGAAAGAGAGAAAGAGAGAAAGAGAGAGACGGGAGAGATGGGCGTAGTTTCGCGAGCGGGTTAATGACACACTGTGGGCGCGCAGGTCCCTCGCTCGCGGGGCTGTCTCCGGCCGAGCGATTCGGAGGAGTCGCTTCGGCGCTCCGTCTTCGTCGCTCTCATGACACTCTCCATAAGTGTGCGACAGAGACAGCGAAAAACCGCTCCTCTGGATGCTCGGCTGCTCGGCCGGGCCGACACAGACAGCAACGCCTTGGCGCCTTGGCCTCGCCGGGCAAAGCGGTTTTCGAAGCAGGCGGGAGGAGCAGAACCGAGTCTGTCCTGCCTCCATCTCTTCCTCTCTCTCCCTTTCCACGGAAGAAAAAAAATGAAAGAGTGTAGGGGGAGGCGCTCAGCAAGTGATGTCCTTGGACCAGTCGCCTTTCTTTATGGCACAGTGATGGAATACGGATGGGATCTGTGTTTGTATTTGAAGACATGTATGTCATTGACCCTCAGAATCGATTCGAAGGGAGACTCTCTGTGGGCGCGCACACACATACACACACGGTCTCACGCGCTCACACACACACACGCACACACACACACAGACGCGCGCGCACGCACGCAACACCTACATCCGACGACAACACCGCTGGCGTGCGTGGCCGACGGCAGAGAGTGATAAAAGTTGGGGCAAGGCTGTCCGACGCTGTCCGTATGGAGATGGAATTAGCGAGGCGAGCGGGTCGGGTCGCCTTGGGTCGCCTTGCCGGCTGCCGGCTGCTACCTGTCACGGATACTGTCGTCGCTCGTGACGCAATAATGTGTATCCGTTAAAATGGGAAACAAATGCAAGGTTTTTTGGGTCAGTAAGCAGGTTTTCCGTGATGATGTACTCGCCGAAGCCGAAGCCGACCCCGTGGCAGCGCCAGGCTTCCAGCGGCTTCCAGTCGCAGCAGCGAACGGTGCGGTGCCTCTGTTGACAGGACACGCGAGTGTGAAAGTGTATGGGTCGTACGGGTTGGCGAGTGCGCTGCCATGCCGCGGCCGCCCGCAGGATGATTCACTCAATGGCTCGCTTCCGGCAATTAGCAAAGCGGGCCAATCCGACCGAACAAAATTGACAGGAGCGTTGTGGTGGCGGAGGCGTCCGTGTGAGTGGTCCTGGTTTTTACACGCGCCTGCTCGTGTTTTGTGTTGCTCCTTTGTCGGGGCGGCAATTACAATCGCCCGACGGATTATCGTGGGAATGACACAACTTCCTCGGCGCGGGGCGGCGCGGGGCCTCGTCAGAGGCGTCAGGAACACGCTAGCGTCGCACCGCGCGTCGCACAGTGGGCCAGAAGACCGGTGGGGGCGGTCAAAATCCCGGACGCGTTTTGAGCGCCAGAGTCGCTAAATGGGACCCGAACCGAACTTGTGACAATACCAACCGTAACCTAACCTAACTCGAGTACTCGGAATTCTTTGAATGAGTCGCCGGCGAAGGATATGCACTGATAAACTGCAAGGCCCCGCCTCGAAGAAGGTGCAGCCAAATCCTAGCGGGATCACCGCTGGGGCTCCCAGCCTGGGAGTGCCGCTTGAAGAGACGATACGGGCGAAGCCCGCGCAGGGGCACGTCGAGGGAGGCGTGGACAGAGACTGTGTTTCCGGGATTGTTGAAAGCCGAAGTGGTGGACACAACTCCGAAAAACCTGCTGCACGCGTGGTCGTGGTGCGTGACGATGATGAGTCTAACAGAAACAACACGGAAACGGAGGCGGAAGATCACACCTCTGTCACGGCGGTTATTAGAATACACAATCGCGGGCCTCTTGTTTGTGGTTGCCCAACTAACCAGCTTCAAGTGGGGCCTAGGTGTGGGCGTGGGCCGTCGCCGCGTCGCCGCGTCGCCGTGTGAACGGTCACCTTATCACAAAAGCGGCGCCGGGCCATGCCGGGCCATGCGGGGCCCGTGGGCGGCGTAATCACATTCACGCCCCGGGAGCGACTGGGAGCGACTTGGAAACAATTATCCGAAAACGCAATCTCGTCTCGTTAGCGCCGTGTCGCGTGCTGCCGTGCTGCGCTGTGCTGCGCGCTGTGCCGGGCGGGTGGCAGCACGGCAGGCGGCAGGCGGCAGGCTCCACGTGGAGGGCCGAGACCTTGGGCAGGGCGGCAGGGCAGGGCAGGGCAGGGCCTCGCTGGGGTGCGCGCGGCGACCGCACAAAGGACGCCGTTCTGCACGCCGCCCCGCGCCCTAGCCCTGCTGTTCCTTGGCAAATCAGTCACGTCGGACAGCAGCGAGAACGAGAAAGGGCCGACAGCGCGGTGGCGTTGTGGCCGCGGTGTTGCAGCGCGCTGCGCGGTGGCGCGGCACGCGCACACTAGCGCACACCTGTGCGGGTCACAGCCGCCTTCGCCTTCGCGCGTCGCCAACCCCCCGCGCTCGGCCGCCGTGCTCCCTCCGCTCCGTGCTCCGTCCGCTCCACCCGCCCGGTTCCGTCGCTCCTCCACGCTCCACCCCGCTGCCCGGGTGCCGGGTCCTGGTGGTTCTGGGAAGAAGCGGCATCAAACGCCCCGCCGCGTCGCTGCGTCGCCGCGTCGCCGTCGCCCCGTCCGAGAAGACGCCGGCCGGCGCGCGCTCGACCACTCCGGATCAAACCCGCCTCGGGCCGTGCCGGGCGGGCGTCGGCGTCCCGGCCTGGGTGCCTGCATTCATGGGGGCGCGGGGGAGCAGCAGGGGCGGGGCCAGCAGGGCCGGCAGGGCATGGCCGAGGGGAGCTGGGGGCGTGGGCGTCAAAGTGGAACATCGTTGGCAGTGTCTCGGCGCCGGCGCTGCTGCCCCGCCAGGACAGCGGCAACTCGCCCGACCCGCGGCGGCAGTTACGCCCTTGCGGCCGGCAGGCCTGACGGGCTGACGGGCTGACGGACGCCCCGCGAGCGCGCAAAGTGGCTGTGCGGGCAGCCGCGCCACGCCGCGCCACGCCGCGTCGCCGGGATCCTTCGAAAAGGAAAATGGATGACGC